AGTGAGGCGGGATGTAGTCTGGTAACCCATCTTGATTTAATTTGGAAGTCTAAATGATTTCGACGTTTAAATCCTGCAGTGGCCACCCAGGGTCGCGTCAAAACCCGACTTTGCCGAACTACGACGTTCTTCCCGAAAAAGTTGACGTATGGAAGACGAAAGAATTAACCTGTCAGGCTTATTTCTTAAAACGGGAATTCATATAATCCTGGATCTTGATGACCAAGACGGCCTGGTATCAATTAAAAGTATAATTTCAACACAAACCGTCAGCCATGCAAATTTACCACTACCGTGATGCCTTCTCGCAGCAAATAATTATCCGACGTCAGTGAAAGGCAGTTGAGAAAAGATATTCGACCGTCGTTGCCGACGATGTCCACCATGTGCCCCACACAAAGGTGGAGCAGAGACGGTGACTTATTCGTGAATTAGTTTACTGTGAATGTAGACTTGTACAGCACCTGCCGCGCTCTCTCTTCCCACTTCCCAACTGGACCCGGTGTCAAGAGAGAGTCAAGGAGACCGGAGGTGGGGGAGGGCGCAGGTTGCTGGCACGGTCGAGCCCGCATCTTGGCGCTCCACTCCACACTCCCTGGTCCACAGAGCAAATAACCAGGTTTTTGACCAATAACAACAATGGGTGCGCGGCAGCGGTCCCAGTGTGCGCGGCGTCTGCCGGCAACCGGGTCTGCCACCGCACCCCGGAATGTTAACCGTTGTTATGGTGCACAAACCCAATAAAGCCTGCCAGAATCCGATATGGCTCCCGTGTTGGTCCAGCGCATCTACCACGTGGCCCGTTTGGGGGGCACACACAAACACACACACACACACACGATAGTTCGATCGTTGATTCTGACGATGTCCACCGTGCGCTATACAACAAGATGCGGCAGGGATGGTGACTTGCGCGTGAATTAGTTTATAGTTGTGATAGATTTACTTAGCATCTACCGCAATCTCTCTTTCCCACTCCTCATCTGGACCCGGTGTCAAGACAGAGTCAAAAAGAATAAAAAGATGCGATCTCTGGAACAAGAAGCTCAGTGGCCTGACGTTTCGGATTCTCACTCGAACCCATAATCAGAGACAGTTGCATGTAAACGTAGAGGATGCACAAAAAGACTGCAGAATTTATAGTACATAGTTGCCGTGGGGCCACATGGGTACCATAATTAACAGCTCTCGCGATCACTGCTGGCGGTACTAATTAAGGCGATGATGTCCCCTCAGTCCGGGTCCGAGTCTTTAATTGACGCAATTTCATCATGCGTGTTGGATGTTGGCGTGATGATGGCTCGGCAATCTGGCCCGCTGTCACCAGGGTTGTTGCTCGTCCGCGCCTTCCCCACATGACTGATTCCCCTTCTCAGGGAATGTCTCCGCACCGAATATGGTACCGCCAGCTCATTGCGCTTGTTGATGGATTGCGGGCTGAGAACCATGATCCGAGCAGCTCGCGGTTCACGCGGTTGTCAGCTCTTGCAAAGATTTCGGTCACGTGAAACTTGAAAATACGGCCGGGTTCGGTTGCATGAGCCGCCACCTGAGCGCTAGCGTCTTTCCTCCTCAGCGCTGCTGCGCGCTTAGCCATCCGCGTACTGAGTAATCTGCCTGTTTCTCCGGCATAGTTGCTCTGTACGCAACTACACCAGATCCGGCAAACAATTCCAGACGTTTCTTGCCGTGGTAGTGGATATTTCGGCCTCATGACTTGGTGCCTGATGGTTGCTTCCGGCCTGTGTGCAACCCCGACTCCAAGTGGAGTGAGAAGGCAACTGACGGCTTCCTAGACGTTCTTCACGTACGGAAGAGCTCGCAAAAATTTAGGGCCGGTTAGATCTGCTCACTGGTCTCGTTTGCGTATGCACTGGTTGACAAAGTTGTGCGGGTAGCCATTGGTCCTTAGTACCTTTCGCAGATATGACAATTTAGCAACCTTGTCTTCCTTTTCACTGCAATGAATCTCAGCGCGCCGATATAGGGCACTTACGCAACTGCGTTTGCGACCGATCTGGTGGTTACTATTGAGATTCAGTACTTGCGTCGTGTATGTCGCTTTTCTGAATGCTTTGGTTTTTAGACCACCATAATATTTGCGACAAACGAGGACATCCAGAAATGCCAGCTGGTTGTTTTGTTCCTCCTCCATCGTGTACTGAATGTTCGGGAAGATGACGTTGAGGCCTTCTTTGAATGTCTGCACCTGATCCCGTTAGATTACGGCGAAAGTATCATCCATATATCGAGCCCAAAATTTCGGTCTGTGGTATCGGTAAACCAGCGACAGACTCAAGAAAACCGGAGGTGGGGAGGACGCGGGTGGCTGGCAATGCCGGGCCCGCACCTAGGCGTGCCACCACAACACCTGGTCCACAACATACACTTGTCCAGGATTTTCCGACAACAACTATACCCCAACAGGGGTCAGCAGGACGGCGGTAGCGAAAAAGCATCCACTGGCAGCGAACCAGGTGTAAGGGAACTGCCAGCGCATACCAGGCTGCGAGTGTCATGGTTTGTTGACACTGACATAGCACACTCTTTCAGAACATTTTATCTGGAAGGGCGACACGTGTCCCTGTGTCTAGCCTGGGTCATCACCCGCCAAACGTATAAATGGAAGCAAACAAGCGAGTCCCAGTTACTTGTTGCAAAGAAGATGAACGCGCGATCACTGGGACGGAACATGTATTAGCCTGAGATTTCGTTCTCGTAAGGGAGTCCACGATCGAAGACTCTGAGAATGCAACATCAACGGAGTAGATTTTGTCGTCAATCAAAGAGGAGGGCGTAGGGACTAAGGGTGAAGGAGGGGGTTGTGTTTGCGATAAGGCTGGGTCCGAGTCCTATCACGGCGTCGTTATAGTGTACGTCCTCGACTGGGAATTGGGTTGCGCCTCCTGACCGCGTGTTCGAAATTGGTGGTATGTGGTGGGTGCATGCGATATGATAAATAACAACAGACTGCTCACCTGCTGGATATTGGGGAACCCACTGGCTCTAAAAATCGACCATTTAATGGCAATCTGTGCCTTCTACCAGCGAACCTTTTTCCGCATCAATGTCAGAACGTACTGGCAGATCAAAGGGACGCCCATGAGTTCCCGATATCCAGCTTAGTTTCAGAGCTTGTCTTAGAAGAACTGGAAAAAAAGTCGCTTTCAATCATTGCGCACCTGCGTTTCGACGCTGATACGTGTACGATACGTTCTTTATAAACGATTGGAGCAGGCTAACAGACTTTTGAGACCTACTTAACGTCATCTTCGCCGACATTTAGTTCAAAAAGGAAGGAGATAATGCCAAAGAGTTGGCTTTCTCTGACGTCCTCGTCACACGCAGATTCAATAAAAGACTTAACGCCAAAATGTGTAGAAAGACGACTAGCACAACTCAGGTCCTCAGCCATCATAGCAACCACCCGATGGCTTATAAACGCGGCTGTGTTAGAGTACTCTTCCAAAGGGCAAAAACGCATTACAGCGAATCGAAGCGACGAGTACGAGAACTTGGGCATCTCAGGGACTAACTGGCTAGGAATGAATACCCAAACAGTATAATCAGCCACTCCTTCTTTAAGCACTCACGGAGAACAAACGGAGAAGCACTATCAACACCCTGGCATACTTTCCGTATATAAAGAATGTGTCAGAAGCGACGGAGCGTATTGCTGCAGAAATCGGCGTGGCTATTACCCATCGTCCGATAGCTACCAGTGTATGACAAAATCATGAAAATGAAGGATCTATTAGACGCATGTGAGCAGTCTGGTGTAATTTATGATATCACATGCAGTGACTGTCTTCACTATCATACAGGTCACACCGGACGACGAATTAACTTACGAATAGTGGAGCCAAAACGAGCAGTCCAGAAGGACGACCCACCATCTCAGGTCGCTACTCACACTCTGGAGGAAAGCCACGAATGCAACTTGCTTGCATGGGGGTATGAACGCGAGCCATTAATAAGACGGGACGTGAACTGGCGGAGGTCTTGGAGTCTGACACACTGATATACACCCCTGCCAACACCCATTTCGAACACGCGGTCAGGAGGCGCGACCCAATTCCCAGTCGAGGACGAACGCTATAAAGACGTTGTGATAAGACGCGGACCCAGCCTTATCGCAAACACAACCCCTTCCCTCACCCTTAGTTCCCACTCCCTCCCCTTTGATTGGCAACAAAAACTGCTCTGTTGATGTTGCATTCTCAGAGTCTCCGATGATGGATTCCCCTACAAGACCGAAATCTCAGGCTAATACATGTTTCGCCCAGTGATCGCGCGTTCATATTCTTCGCATTATAGCTTACTTAAGGTAAACGTTGAGATCCACTTCTGCCAAAGTGTATGAACTCAAGGGAGAGATTGGGAGACGACACAACCATTCCCTATGAGACCCGTAAATTTCGTGCACCCTCGACGACTGCCAGTCATCAGAAGGCGTTGAATTTGTATAAAATTTGGAGGTCACGTAAAACTTTTTAAGTGCAGTCGAATTAATAATTGCCACGGCATGTCACAGTTCTTTGAACATCTACCGGCATAAACATCCGCCTTCCACAGTGTTCTGTGGTAGGCGATGCTGGTAATTCATTGTATTATATATTTTTCTTAAGTCAGATGGGGAGTTGGAAAAATACTCCCAGGACGTTGCTGAATAAAGCACAGGGTGAGCGCTGGATTACTCACTGATGAGAGGAGACCCTCACACCTGAGTGAGATTTTAATTAGTATGGGTTCTGGGAGTAAGATAAATCGATGGAGGAGGTTTTCTCAGGACTTAAGACTCTGCGCGGTTCGAATTATATTCCTAGGTAGCCTGTTCTTAAGTGCATATACACGTTGAGTGCATTCTTGCTATGTTTGCATAATTTGAAGACGGTCAGTATTGAAGGTAGGTACACACTAGTCGAGCATGCATCCAATAAAAAGATACGGGACAACGGATTGCTTGGATAAAGTTAACTTGTGATAACACAGCGCTCCTCCTAACAGGTGAATTTTTTCATTCGTATATCAGCAGGACAGCTTCGATGGGGGTCAGCGATCTGTCCATCGAAGTGAGTTAGCTTCGAGTCTGCTGACGTCGGCCCCCTCTCAGAATATTGGCCCGATTGTTCTTCTGCCGCACATCTATCCGACCTCCTCCCCGGCGTTCTCGTGGCCGGGTGATACATCTGCGGCGAAGTAAAGGATTTGACCGGAGCTGGTGAACGTGCAGGCTCGGTCAGGGCATTCTGATCACACCTTCCACTGGCAGTCGGCGAGGCTTTTGGCGTTCTTCCTCTCTCCGGTCCCGAAACCTCAGGCAGGAGTGGCCGTGTTGAGTTCGAGGTAACGCCGCCCGTTTTACTCCTTAGACCCGCAACATTGTCCTTTGGCATTCCTGAAAAGGAAGTAAAGCAGCATTTCTGGTTGTGATGACAGTAGTTCCAGAATGACGGTAAGAGAGCGCATAATCGCGGTAAACTGCACTGACACGAAACAAACGTCAGAAATGGGTTTTAAACCATATTTCCACCCATCATGAAAGTCAATAAGAAGGAATTGGCTATATCAAACTAGGCTTTGCGTATTTACGAGTGTCCATGCATATCAGTAGCCCTAAGACACAACGGGATGAGTGAGTTCCGTAACACACTTGTGAGCACTCCTACGACCATATCAGTAGCATGCTTCTGATTTTTGTGGGGCAGTCGTCCATGTCCTGCATTGGAAACAAACGCAGAGTATTTGCGTTGACAAAGCCAAGTTAAAGGACACTACGTTGTTTTCCTCCACTTTCCGCAATAACCCATTCAGCTTTTCTTAACATGCATGCAATAAGTTGGTCCAGTTTTGTCAAGGGCAGCCGCTTCTACTGCCTTTAGATGATGTTGACGGGATTTACAAACAGGAAGGGGTCTGTTATATCGAGCCTTGCCACCTAAGCATATCATATCCAGATGTACGAAAAATTTCATCGACGAATTCAGAGTACAACACGGTAAACGTACGTATGTCTTCAATGCTGTTGCCTTAGGACAATGCAGTTATGCATTGGAGTTTAATTAGGATTAACAAACAGGCAATTGGAAGCTTGGTTGCTGGACTGTCGGAATCAGTTATAGGTGGAGCATAATAATAGAGCAGGTGGGAAGGATATGCATATTCAGCATCAGGCTGACACAAGAACTTTATTCCCTTGAATTAGAATAAAATTCCCCCTCCAGCTGCATAGTCTCCTTTCAATTCCTGTTTGATCGTATGCAAACGAAACTGAACTAATTACTCCACTGTTTTCCCGACTCTAAATAATGTGAACCCCTCCCCATTATTCTGTTCCATGCATAACTGGTCACACAAGGACAACAACGGGTTTTAGGAAAAAGTTCAATATTGCCTTATATTGGGTTGATGATAAATTATTTAAAACTTACTAACACTTGACAACTTGTCATCTGGACTGAGATGTGTGCAAATAATTCACATCCGAGGACCCAGACCGCAGTAGAAGCAATTTGTCTTCCTCTTCTGCCTAGAATGCTTTAACAGGACTCGTAGAATGCAGTCGGCATTATAAGCTCTTCGGTATGCGTATTGTCATTCGTGTGACACTTTCCTGTAATGTACTCCGATACCTTTCGGGATAAGCATTCCGGCTAAGTAGGAAAAAGCAACTTCATACTTTGGTTCACGTGGTTTTCTACATTTTCGGCCATCTCTCGTTCTATTTGAGTCCACTTTAAATAATCTCTATGCAATTTTCGTGGACGGAAAGACGAAGCGGATGCAAGCTATTGTCGCATTTCCGCATGTTAAAGGCGATTTCCCTACCCAAAATATGCGTTCTCAATGCATGCTCTACCGACTCCGTCGTTTTACTTTCCCATAAAACTTCTTTGTGTCTGGAGTTAGGTATTGCCGTTGTCCGAATCAACCCTCTAAAGTCAGCTTATTTAATAGCATGCACCTTCGGGTCTGGCCACGGAGACAAAGTTTCGTTAACGTTCGATCTGCTCTATGCCTATCAATCGGTGCTCACTCACAGTCCATTTAAGAGCTGCTTAAAATATGAACAAAGTATAAGCAACTGAGAACTGGACTTCTGGTTGACTGTGAGAGGTGCCAATATAACAGGCTTTGGCAAAGCAGTCGAAATAAAACGTGTCCTTAGAAGGAAAAGGCAGGTCTATCACATAACAATGGTAAACATGATGTTATGGTAAGAACTAGTTACGTAAGGGCTGTAACGTTGGCATGCATTTCCAAATCGTCCAGAAGATTGTCTTTAGGTGAACCCATATGGAGGTTTACGTTTTCTTTATCTTTAGTAACCCTTGCTTAGTGTTTTCTTAGCCTGCATGTTCTTCTTTCGTTGAGAAGCCTTCACACATCCTTCCTGGTATTTATTGCCGCATGGGCTTACAAATTAAATCACAGTTTACTATGAATTGCCGTTCCATGACGCCAGGATTGCTCCACCGGTTTCAATTTCTCCTTCTTGGTATTCCGGCTACGTGTAACAGCAATTGACAGCTTGGTGTGTACTAAAGTGTGGTTCAGACATAATCCCCATAAACAGGTTCAAAACGGCAAAATCGTCAGTAGACTGTTCAAGATGTAAATTAGGAGGCTGTGTGAACTCTAATAATTGACCCAGCTTGATTCCTAAATTCACCACCCAGAGTTCAGCCTGGAATTCTGAGAAGGTGGAGTAAATAAAAAGACTGAAAGTTCCATTTAAACAGCAAGCATAGGGTAAAACAACAAACAGCCATCCGGTTGCATGGCTAAATACGTGCGAAAGGAGCCTTGTGCGGGGTAGGAGGGATACCTGCATTCATTTGGCTGGACGTTGAGCTGCGGGAACGCCGATTGCCAGAGCAGCGTCGGTGCAAAAGTGTCACGTCGAAGACGGAGAGCCGTCGGTCGGAGAAACGGGCTGACGAGGCACGGGACCCCGGAGGGCGCACAGTTGCGGGCAGACAGGGGGCGTAGGCCAGTGAGGCAATGCGACACTCCTTCGTGGGAATGCACTGAGAGGGTGGCGGAGGCAGGGCTAGAGCCGATTCTGCACCAAAGTCGCGAGTACTTGAGCGGGCCATCGAAAAGCGGAACTCACGGGCCACCTCCTCGTGCATTGACCTCTACAAAATGGTTGCGAGAATGCAATTATGGGTGCTGTTGAGGGCAGCATCGACGATGACGCCAGTGGTAATTGCGCTTAAACAGCGGTGCCCATAGGGTCGCCCTACCCGACGGAAGTTTGCTTGCGGGCTCTGTTAACGGAATATTTTTCCAGCGTTGCCGTTCTTAAACTTAGAAATCACGGAGGGCTACTTGATGTATTCTAATCCCGAGGTTTATTCGGTGGAAAGGGACGAATGCGTGGATGATGATCACTGCTAGCGAAGCACACTCAAGGGTGCACTTTGGAATTTACAATGCGCAGTTCGAGCTCCTTTGTTCTTACTCCGCAGTGCTTAGGCGTGTAAAACACCATTCTATAAATGTGGTGATTGGGAACAGAAATCTGTTGACTTATTCATGATGCCTTTTTCTGGCAAATAAGCTGACAGCCTCAAGTTTATGCAATGACCAACGTAGCTGAGACCAAGAGTTTCATCAATTAATCGTCAAAGCCTAATTCCACATCATATTCAGCGGTGATTCAGTGATTGAGGAGAGGAGGTATATGGCCATCTCGTGTGTGACACCAACAAAGTTCTGATAATACCACTGTTTCTGTCAATGGCAACTATGTAAGTAGTGGCAGCGACGGTCATACCTATGACTAGGTAATAAACCACAAAAAACCCTGATGTGATTTGACAGTGGGAATTGAAGCTGCCTCTGCCGATTTTTGGACTTCAGAAATTCACAAGGAACGAATTCGCAAACCCAGTTCTCATTGAAATAGATCTTGTATCTTCTTGCGCATTGACTTTTTAGGGTACAGAAGAGAAGCCGAACAATGCTGTGATTTGCAACCATTTGCAAACAGTCAGGAGCGTGGTATATGTTAATTGTTAGGCTACTCCTGCGTATGTTACAAGTCGTCGTGCGATTGCCGGCAAGTCTCTGGTTCGAGCCCTATAGCATAAAGGGACGAACATGTCCCGTGACCCGTGAAAGCAATCCCAACTTATTTATCCATCACAGATCCACTCTCTCAGAAATTCACCAATACTCCCATGTAATTAAATCAGTTCGGCTTAATCAGGAGCTGCCTGTTGTCGAATTCTTGGATCATCGAGGTCGCGAAGAGCAGGTAGGTGGTTAAAATTGATTCATATTCAGCTTCTAGAGATTGGCTTCTTATCAAAGGTATAATTTCGCCCAAGGCCCCTTTTCTCGAAACCAAAGAGGCACAGTGGTGTACAATTTGGTAGAACCATAAAGCTGCTCTGGGTGGGACAGTCCAGCGCTGTAACCGATCAGCAAGCTTACGACTGGAGAACCTAATTTACTCCCTAGAGAATACGTCTTGCAACTTTTAAAGTTGATCAATAGCGCTTCCAGAGAAGATTCATGATATATGTGGGACCGTTTTCACTAATCGGTCCTACGCATGTCCCGTGAAAACCCATGTTTTGAAGTAGAGCAATGTTTTATGTTAGATGTAAACACGACAAAACTTTAGCTTCAGTTACAAATTAAATGGAAGTTTAAATTTCTTAAAGGCGGACTTCACTAATCACCTAAAATTTTGTGATTAATTTATTGTTATCTTCCACTGAGGCGTTAAATGAATAGGAGTTTATAGGTACATCGAAAACCTTAATGTTGTTACTGAAAGAACCTTAAATACACACCGCACGACACTCCCCAAATAAGGCGATTAAAAATGCTATCACCGCGCATGCCATTTTAGCGTGCGTTTATGGATTCATGCAGTAGGCTTTCCAAAGCAAGATAAAAATTTCAGAAATCACTAAGTCCAAGACATGGATTCGGATGTCCGGTCGAAGAAAATCAAATATAAAGATTAATACTACTAGTTTGAAATTTTTTTATGACAGATTACCATACAGTACTCCCGACAAAGATACTGCCTAAAAACAGACATGTGATTCTCCGATGTTTCTGGCTCCGAATGACGAAACTGCAAGGGATTCGGGTTTTCAAAGGTTCCCCACTGTTTTCTATACAGATTTTGGTATGTGGATTCCAAAGAATAATAAATATAACAGTTTCAGAAATTATTAGTCGTAGGACATGGAATTAGGCGTTTTGGACATAATTTCTTAGGATCAAATCTGAATGAGCAATACCTGTTACTTTCAGAGTATATGATTGTGTTGACTCAATTTTTCATTGACATTTAAGATCTAACACTACATCTTATTTCCCCGATACCTCAGTCCCTTGCACATAATAATCGCTGAGATTATTACCCTAACATGTATATATAAGCCAGAAACGGCCATTTCAGTCTCCCTTGTCTTTGTCGGCAATGCCACTCTGCTTGTATTACACGCCGCTATGCGACTACTAGTTGGGCTCCAGAGAGAGAGCCCGTAAGGCACAACGCGACGAGTGAAATTCCAAACGCGATCTATCAGCGCCCAGCTGCCATATATACACACATATATGATATATATGTGAATTAGAATGCAGGCCTCCTAGGAAATATAGTTTGAAAGCAAACACGCTTCTTGGGATAAATACGGAACTTTACTAGGCAATGTCAACGATGGTTTTCCAGGTCATCGCCAGACTTGAGTAAATGTGCGAAAACAATTAACACTTCAAACGTACTGAAAAGCCAATATTCATTTGGTTTTTGCGCTAGTAAGCGGCCGCCGTGTGCGTCATTCCGTGCTGGTCGGCTCTCGTCCCTTCCACTTTTCCTTGAAATTTCTGCACATTGCATCTAACTCAATGTGCCGATTGATGCCTGATTCATCAAGAAACTCTCGGCCTTTTTTGAAAGGGCAAACTCCGACGGTGCGGGTTTTGTCCCATGCGAAGGTGTCCCCGGTATCGAGGGTGTGCATGGCCATTTGAGACAGGTAGTCTCGCCTCTTAACTGCCCGTTGATGTTCGTGGATGCGCGTACAGCAAAATTTTACCGTTTGGTCACAATATACAGTATTACAGGCATCGCATGGGAGCATATGGGCGACTTCTTTCTTATCAGGATAACCAACGCCATACTGAGGGTGTGCAAACTCAGTGCGTAAAGTAGTCGTTGGCTTTTGTGCCACTTTTATTTAGTGTTTTCTCAAGTGTTTTATCAACAAGTCAAGACACATTCCCGACGTAAGGAATGATTCGCCAAGTGTTTTCTTTGAGCGCTTGATTGGAACTATCTATTTCTTTTGTTTTTATCCTTTGCTCTCTAGTGCAGCGACGTAAGAAATCTCTAGAGCAACCGTTCTGGGAAAATATTTCAGGCAGGTAATTTACTTTGGTGGTTTTTTCTTCAGATAAACGTGTTTTTCCTCGATGTAGCAGACTTTTGACAGTACCTCGCTTGTGAGAGATTGGATTGTTGATCTTATGATGTAGAAGTACCTCCGCATATGTTTCTTTGCGGTAAACGGACGTGTGTAACGCTCCGTTCGTCTCTCGCTCTATGAGAACACCAAGAAATTGGAGGTTACTGCCAACTTCGTTTTCCAACATGAATTTAGTTCCCGCAGTGATTAAGTTGATGGTATTGTGGAGCGTTTCCAGTTGATCCTTTTCAACGACATCAGATATGTCGTCAGCATATCGTACCGACAACTTGGGGCTAACTAATGTAAGAGCTGCCAATTCCAGTTGCTGCATTGCCACCTCGGCAAGAACGCCAGATATTGATGATCCCATTGGAGCTCCCGTTATTTGCTGGTAATATTGGTGGTCAAATGAAAAACTGGTTCCTAAACAAAGGTCTGTGGATTCGAGTAAGGTAAATGTGGAAACATCCGTGTCATAAGAATTCATTTGTGCATTACCTTGCGAACTCTATTGGTATGGATGTGAATAAATAAGCGACACCAAAAGAGACCATTATCTCATACGAGGAAATTGTGATTCTTCTCAATATCTTTAGAAACTTTATAGAGTTCTACATAGAAGATTCACAATCTCTCGTGACAGTTTTTTCGTTCCTGTAAGGCGCTTCAGCACTTTATCAATAGATGATCTCTAACCCCTTTGTAGGGTTTGTGGAAAGAGTCTTACATGTTGAGTTATCTTCTAAAAGTGACAGCAGTTTCTCATCGTAGCCTGATTTGTTCAAAATTGATGGCAAGTCTCCTTTATCTGTGAAAGGAATGACAATGGTTTCGTCAGTTTTGAGATTTTTTACTGCTTACCTTTTTTCATGCGATAGCGTTGAAAAGTGATTCCGGCTTTTTAGGGCCCGTACAGTACTGTTTCTGATTGTAAATCGGTAATCACCCGTAAGGTTTACTGTTGATATGATGAACTCCAAGCTTGCAATGAAGTCCAAGTCGTTCGAATCAGAATAATTGTATTTCATTCCTTTGGAAAGTACAATCTCTTCGTATTTGCTAGAAAGCTCGGGGGCAGATACACGGTTTTTGCCGAAGACTTTTGATTTGTATAAGCTGGCCGTTAAATAGCCATTCGCTTTTCGTCTAACATATTTCTCTTCTGTCGTTCGAGGTCTGATATGTAGGCAGTCGCTCCGGTCAGGTATTCAACAAAGTAAAATGGAAGATTATCACGACAAAATTTCATTTCGTGCACCCTAGAACTGTGAAGCATTCGAAGTTGACAATGGTCACCACTTACGAACGCACCAAGCATGCGCTGTCCGTAGCGATATGCAATTTGATATCCCAGGGTAGATATTACGACGGGATTTACACGCAAAAGTATTGGTAGGATCTTTTTACTTTGACATTTGTATAGAAATAACGCATGAGAGAACAAGAGATAAAAACAAAGGAAATGGATAGTTGCAATCAAGCGCTCAAGGTAAACACTTGGCCAATCATTCCTTACGCCGGGAATGTGTCTTGACTGGTTGAAAAAACACTTGAGGAAACACCAAATAGGAAATGTGTCGACTTTAATTACACCAGTGCCACCACTTTCGATATTGAATATGGATTTATTGACTTGCCTTCGTAACCTTTGATCTTTGATGCGCCTTGTAGAGGAATTCCGTGAGACCGACGAGGAATGATGCACCCAGTCCGACTAGAACCATGACAAAACAGCCTCCCACTTGTTCAACACCCAGCGATGTGGCATCGGCACTCTTTTTCGGTTGATCGTTACAAGGCTCGACGATACTGTAATTGCCCCACCAATATCTCCGCATTTCCTCAAGCGTTTGAGAACGCTGCAGTTGGAGTATCACCTCGGAGAAGGAGTCACGGTATTTTGAACCTGAAACATCATATATAACGTTAAGACTTGCCCGAAAATGTGGGCAGGAAAGGGGACCTTTCTAGCTAAGGACTGTCTAAAGCTAAATGGATTAAAGTGGGGGGGGGGGGGAGCAGTACAAGTATACCTGTTGAGTGGACATGCAACCTAACCCGACTACACCCCGAAACCATCCCGTGTCATGCACAGGGTCCGTGTTCAACCCACCTTAGTTTGTTGGTTGTCTTCCCTGTGACAATTATTTCTCGGTTTAAAGGCCTGGAGACAAAGTGATGCTGCTGATTAGTATTTGAAAATGCTTACTTGCCTTGTGGGAATCCAATGCCGTAACCCTTAGAGTCCAGGTTGTTGCCGACTTGCATGAGTTCACAGTTGCGTTGCGTGTAATATTCATTTACCGACGACTCTAGAATGTATGCGTAACCCCCGCGCTTGACTCGAGCGATCGCATCTTTCGTGCTGTTCATCATAACATTTTTGTTGGACGACATGAATTGCCACATGCGCTGGTAGACGCTGAGGTTGGACTTCTGCGATAGAGTTGAAGAATTTACGATACAGAAGTATTTCACAAAAAATTTAGCGACTAAAACCATTTTAAATGAGAAAAACCGTGAATCCATAAAACATGCACGATGGGGAAACGTGTGTCACCAGACGGTTTAGAACCGCCGACCTCTTTGTTTTGCGCTGGATGCTATGACAGATAAAGTACGGACTAGTAGTTGTGTGGGCAGAACAGTAGGCCTTGGTTATTCTAGAAGGAAATCTGGGGCTCAAAATCCAGGACCCTGGGGTCCGGACATAGGACACTGCCGGTTGTTGTCGATAGCTAGGCCGAAAATTATCAAAACTAATTCTCTGCGCGGATTATAATTCATCATGCTTCCCATTATGCTTCTAGTTGCATGTGCGCACAGTATTACCTGCATCAGATTACTTGCATAGGTACTATCCTAGATGGATTGGCGCGGGTTTCTGTTTCTCCTGTTTGCCTGCATCCTTGGGTCTTTTTACTCCAGACCTCCATTTGAGTCCGGTGCGATCGTGTACGAAAGGACAACCGACGCTCAGTTAGGGTGTCTACCGATACTCCATCCACTGCATCAGTCGTATTGACAGAGTGTTGCCCTCCACCCCCCGCCTTTACGAACAGCCCGGTTGTATTTGGTCGCAGGGGTTTGGCTGAAAACTGTGACGCCTTTTAAACACCGTCATGGCCAGTTAGCGATCCTTTTCTGCACTTCCAGTTTAAGGCACTACGGCACTCCGCCCCGGGCGCTTCGACATTGCTGGGTTTAAACTGGGCACACTTCACCTACCACATCGCGCACTTACTACCTCTTGGGTTCAGACTACAACAGTAAGGCGTCTCATACGTCAGTCAGACCCGAAGTGTTCACCTTCCTCGCATTTTTCACCCTATTTAAATTAGGTTTCCACTTTATCAGGATCGTCAATTCCAGGCATTCCCTACAAGCGCCATTTACGCCTCCACTCATTTGCCCCACCCGTATAGCCCCTATTACCACCGGTCCCGTAAGTCAGGTAGCTGGGAGTTTTCGGTACCGGGGGGGCTACCAACTACCACATAACCATAATCCGTTTAGGATAAATCTTTCCCCTTTACTAAAGATTTCCGTGTGAGGGTGCAATACAATGAGTCTAAATAGACAGTCTTGCAGCGCCTCGTTCTCGGGGCGGTTAAAGTGAAGAAGAAAGTCATCCTGACAGGGCCTCTGTGCGTGCACTCCCCAGACGTAATGAGAACGTTATCACAGATACCGAAATCGAGCCAGTAGGTACAATTGTAAAATCAGTGGGCAGGGCTACCAACTACCATCCTGTCGCGGGAACTATAGTACCGTTTAAGGCAGGAAAAAGGGAATAACCACTTCTAGCTCATTTGCCGCCTTCGATCAATCATATCACGGTCGCATATCGGGGAGGCCCCAGATTTGAACCAGATTCCAGTTGGCCATTGGGGTCATTGACGCACATAAACATCTTGCACATGGTGCATGCGGTGGGCAAGGAAACATGCACTCGCTCGTGTGTGCATTTAGCCGCGAGGCCAAACAAATGCAGGCTTCCACAAATTCTGCAATCACCAACCAAAACACCGAGGTTGTACTGGCTGGCACTCACATGACATATAGTCGTTCGCGCTCCCATCATGCTTCTGGAGAGGCCTGCGAAGTCCTAAGCCGGCAGTCACCAGTCTGTTTTGCAGAATAAACGCCGCCCACTGGTGTCTTTCGCCTGCTTCCAAACACGACCGGACCGCGGTAATGGCGATAGTTAGGGTGAATACATAGCCCGGGCCGGAACAAAAACAATGTCTTCCCAGTGACAAAATAGTCCAGAAACTGTCAATTCGGGTGATAATTCCCTCTCCCACCTCCCCGGCGCCATGTTACCGCTTTAAGACAAAAACATCTGTTTGTGTCCCACAATCAGGTCAGATAGGTGACTGCCAAGTCCCTGCTTCTATCATTAGATCTGTCTGGGATACCACAGTCGTACGAAACGGTTGGAACGATAACTGTTACAACCTTTAACCTTATGAACTTTAGGAAAAAAATAGCAAATGTTATTTGCCCATCTCCTACCCGACATTCTGGTGCTTAACTGAGCATAAAGTCAAAATTGCATTTCAACGTTAGGGACAGCTGTTTATATATCATCCTAGCTATAGTACTTAATCCGAGGAGCATTACAAAATGCAAAAGTCCACTATGGGCTAAGTGCAAAGAAAGCCGTTAATATGCCCTTAAATAGGCTACTTTTGGAATATTAGAGAGTGAATCTTTGGTGTGCAAACATGACGAAAAAGCATACATTTTGTTCATAACATGACCACCCTAGTTCACTGGACCAGCCCACGGGTGTCGACACGATGTTTCTTTCGGGGTGGAATCCATAAGACTCAGCTTACTTCAAAAAATGCAGCTGAGGATCCGCCTTCGCGTGTACCATACTTGATTTTCGTTTGCTTCGCCAAATCATTAACGTCCTCAATCGGTGCTTTCATGCGCTCCACTGTCAGAAAGGCGGCTAGGTTTGCCGTGTAGGAAGAAATTATAATGAGGGTGAAGAACCACCAGAAGCCTGCCACGATACGCGTAGATGTGGCCCGGGGCAAAATGTCAGATCCTGCGAAAACATATAATTTAGGACCAAGAATTACTGCTACTTGGCAGATGTAGGTAAAATGTTATCACACCAATTAAAGTCTCCATTTTTTTTTCATTTGTCTTGTTTAAGTGCAAACCTTTTTGCATCAATGAGCCGAGTGTAAACCACAGGCTGTTGAGCATATTGAAAGTGTTCTCGAGTACTTCGGAGTCTGCGTTGCAGGGATGGGGGTTACGCCATTCATAGGGGCTGAACCGAGCCACAAAGAATAATGCCATACTCACGCCGACGTATGCAATTAGCACATAGCCCCAAACCTGCAGTAA